CACTACATATATGGACTTTATTTTACCTACTACAGTAGTTTGGTTGTTGATCTTAGTGAATAACGAATGTACATAAGTCATCCATTCAAAATTGCAGCAGACAACTTGTCGTATAAAAATTGCTTAGGTAAAATAAACTGACAACGTTGCATGACGGTTTTTGTTGATAATGTTGGCAAATTTGTTATACAAAACCTAATGAAAATTTGAACAAAATAAATTGATTAATAATTGATAACTGTAGTATATAAAACACACCCACCGCAGCAAACCTGCAAACTAGCGAATTTCCAGTTGCCTGATTAAGTCTAGACTAAAATGTCTCCATAAAAGTATCATAACTATCCCCTATATAAATAGCATTAGTTTAAAGAGTACAGTATTTAGGTTTACTGCAACACGGAGCGTAAACACGCATTTTTTAAAATGTGTTAATACTAAATATGAAATAAATGCATTTTCAAAATAAATAATCAAACTACAACAGTTAAATCTTCATAAAAATAACATAGAAATTTTAAATTTATATCTTTTTGAATTTTTTCAGTTACCGTTAGGCGCATAATAACGCTTCAATATACTAAATTGTTTGTTTTTAAGTTATATAAAATGGTATGGTAAGAAATGCCTTATTTTTATGTTTTAAAGTAAAAACGGGGGAAAATTTACCATATAAACCCCCGTCCCCATAGTCCGATCATGCTGGTTCGCGAACTCGTTAGAATAAATGTAGGTGATTTTAAAGTACAATACCTACATGAATTGCATAGTCGTTCTAGTTTGACCATTGACACAAAAGGAACGTTTGGAATACTCTATGGAAAAAAGTGTCAATTCCAATTATTATTTATTGCAAATATTTCGGGTACACACGGTGATTGGGAAAGATTTTCTCAACTGTAATTTTATATAAGTGTTCAATTTAATTTTTATCGGTATTTCGGTTAAATCTTAATAATCAAGTATTTTATTGGTCGTTAAATAATCATTGATTACAATAGACCTCGTCAGAGACACACATATAAAACAATAGCGATACATTATCACAGTCACATGCAATTCATTTATACAAATCGTTCGTCATTTATACAATTAATACAATTCGTTTAACCTAGATACTTAAAATTCTCCCCTTATTTACATTATAAATATATTTGCCAAAACAATGTACTACAGTGGTGAGTTACCGAACAAACATTTTATAAAGAAACATTAATACTTTGCTGAGTTGTAAACTTTTCAGTCGGATTACTATATTTAGAAACATTGCATTAAGTGTTTAATTTTTTATAACCTAACAAAACATTAACTCAATTTTTGTAATAAGGATTCATAATGTCTAGTCTGAAGACGTTGGGGAATTTTGCACCTCAAACAGAGTGTATAGCATAGCGTCACTCCCGTCACTCTTCTCTTGAGGCCTTGACCTTACCGCAGTTTTGAGCTTTCTTGGCCCCCTGATTAGAGGAGGCCTGTCAGAAATTTTACGCTACATGATTCTACATGTAACGTAAGAAATTCAAAATAACGGGAGGGGAATGAACGATATGGTAGAAAATAGGCATGTGGTCAAATGTGATGTCAAAAGATTTGGCGAGACGCTTTTCTTATAACCTTAGAAAGGAACGACCCTACGGGATAAAATTACTCAAGGCTTTATTATTATCGAAAAAACTTGTTCAATGAACAGTGTTTTATAATGTTGAAAGGATTTAATCATTTATTTAAACAAAAAATAAAACGTTAACACCTCTCACTAAGGTTACTGGGTTCCGTCGTACGTCCCGACACCTACCGGGATTCAGCAGAACTGTGACGTTGTAGATGTTGAGTTTACCGCCAGGGGCGCTCAGAATTGTGTTTTCAATGGATGCATGTAGTAGATTACTATAAAGCACGAATACTAGAAAAATATTTTCTTGGATTCGTGCTATAAAGTATAAAGTAGTATTAGCGTAGGCGTGCCAGTTTTAATTTAGTGTTCTGCGTTACTAAATTTTAAGTACAAAACTTTGCAAATATACTGCCAGTTCAATAACTATACATATTTTGGGAATTTACATTGATAATGCTATGTATTATTTAAAAATTATTAATTATTAAAATGGTAGAAATTAAACAAAATTTTCTTCCCCAGAACAGTCTGTCGTACAAACGGTACTGGTTGACATGTTTTCACGTTCCGAGCAAGACGCCGATTGGAGAATTTCTGCTCCCGGAGTGGAAGCGTTATCAGTTGAACTTTGTACTCCTGGTTACGGGTACCTTTTCTGCAGCAGCATTAATACATCGATGAAGATGGCACCAACGAACAACTGTGAAACGCAATGAGAACTGTATAGGTAGGATTGTTTACAGTTATATGTTTATGTTTTGAATTTCATGAATAGTTTGTGATATTTTGCATTTTTTTTGTCATTTATTTTTCTCTATTGTTTAGGTGAAGTAGTAGAACATTATGGCTATCGTAGATGTGTAATACTATAGTATACCGTACATTTAAGTAAGCAAATGTTATTCAACTTTGTCCCCCCCCCATTGCAAACGCAAAGTTCGAGTATAACTGCAATAAGCATTTCATACTTATATGTCAACCCCGTACGAAGGATGGGTACTCTGCTAGTTAATAATATAACAATAATTATATAATAATAATATATAGTAATAATTATTGTTTAAGAGAGCATTGTTAAGTTAGGTAACAAAAAATAACATTCGCCAGCTCATTAGACTAACCGGGTGTTCAAATATTAATTTCTTCTTATATTTAATTTTCTAGTTCTTTTTAGGCTCCCTGATAAAAGGAAGCCTGTCAAAAATTCTACGCTACACGATTCGTCATGCAACGTAAGGTCAATGATGAAAGTCCTGGCAATGATAAGGGCTCAGATGGAAATTCAGCATCTTATCAAATGTAATGTCTAAAGATTTGGCGAGACGTTTTCCTTATAACCGTAGAAAGATACGCATCAGAACTATACAAATTTCTCAAACCTACATTATTTGTTTAAAAAACTGTTCAATAACCAATGTTTTACAATGTTTGAAGCATTTGGAAATTTTAAACAACAAATAAAACATAAACATTCCCCTCAAAAGGGTACTTTGTGGTCTGTTGTATGTCCTGACATCTAACGGGGTTTATCAGAACTGTGATGTTATAGTTGTAAAGTTTACCGCTAGGCGCGCACACAATTGTTACTAACGGAACGGCAAACATACTAATACCATTGACTATAATACTAATACTAATACTAATACATAATAAATAGGAAGCATGCGTACATGGCTACATACAAAAGAATACAGGAATACAAATTGTGTACAAGTGCAAAATATTATGGATTGAAAAGAGATGTCAAAATGCTTAAACTAGTATAGGATGATATCAAATTACCGAATTAATCACCGATATGTCATGTGAACTGTCGTTGAAGTTGAAGTACAAAAGAAGTACTTTGTACCATAGATACATACATCCTCCCTAAGGGCGTATGTTTAATCTATGTTTGTACTTAATCGTTCATTACAAAATGTTTCAAATATACCGTCTGATATATCTTTATATATTTTTAATTGTTGTACATATTTCGGACATATACAGTGATATATAGCCTATGTTTCGCGTCTGTTATTTATGTATCAAATGAAAAATTGTCATGGTCATAGTGGTTCAATTTAATAATATTTTAAGTCAACTGTTACAACCTAAAGTAAGATGTTAAAATTTGGTACTAAGACACGGTAATTTTATTGTTTTGTTATTGTTATCGTTTACCAAGCAAATTGTTAAATGCGGTGTCATGGCCGAAATAAGAAAATTCACTGAGTTTTGCAGTTAAAAATAGTTAATTAATCTTTTTCTTTAGAAATTATTCAATTAAACCTTCATCGTTTTACATAGTTCAACAAGGTTTTGGTTTTAAATGAATAAACACAAAAAACAAATTGTAAACAAAACTAGACCTAGTATACAGAGCACGGATGGAACTACTGTAAAAATGAAATTTTGTCTTAAGCTGATACAAGTATGAGAAAACCTACTATACTATTTTTATAAGGAAGTATCTTTTACTGTATCTATGATTACAAACCGTCTATCTAGAAAAGAAAAAAAAATGTCCTGTGCGTGGGAAACTTTCTCATAAACCAAGCTTCTTTAGAAATGATTTACTAGATTCAACGATGTACTACCTATTTTAAGCTCCAAGACTTGAACAACCTTGGATTTGTTTGTTATTTTGGTCTTTGTAATTATGCAGTAACATGAACTCAGAGACAGCCAAACTCTCACTTATCACTATCAAACTAAAAGCACCTTCCTACAATCACATGTCGAAGGAAGTTATGGTGCAAGTGCTTTAAATAGAAATTAAACAATATCTGATATTACACTTTCTAGTCTAAAAAAATAGCTTGTCTTGGTCTGTAAAGCTAAAAAATCATCTCACACCCCCAAACATATCTTAGAATTGTATTCGAGTTAAAATAAGCATATTTTTAGTCCCTATATTTAGGGATGTAGTTAGAGGTATTTTGTTTTGACTTTCATCTAGTGTTGCCTTTCTTTACGAGTACTCTGCTCTGCTTCAATGCAGATGTGTGTATATTCAGTAATTCAGACCAATCAGTTTAATATATAAGTAAAAATCATTAACATAAACACAAAGATGCTTAAAATATTGAGGTGTGATAATTAAACAACTAGAATCCGAATCAATAAATCAACGCAAATTGTGTTTAAAATTGATAAACAACCTCAAAAACTCCAACTCCAAAGATTACATTTCTTTAATTGCATATTTAAAATATTCTACAAATGACGTGATATTAATGCAAGCCTTTAACAATGGAACTTATATTGAAACCCTAATTCAAAAATGTAAATGTGTCTGTTGACACAGAAAGTTAGCTAATGACACCAACTTGTGAAAACAACCTAGCAAACAAATATGTGAAATTCCAGAATGAAGAAAGCCATTTGCAACTTAGATGCATTGTGCTTTAGCTAGTGAGATGGTTAGACTCTAGTTGGTAATGGAGGTTACTTGTACTGAGTTCATGTATCTATTCAGTACAGCTTTGGTCTGTGTGTTAACATCTGTTGCTGGTCAGGGGTGCCTCAATCAAGGGAATGAGGTAAGATTTTTGAATTTCAAGTTTACATTTTTTTAGTAAGTGAATTTGTGTTCATGTGAGAAGAATTGACCCAATTATAGAAACGTGGGATATTTAGTCACTGTGGAAAATGGAAACAATGTATACATATTTTTTTGTAAAGTAAAAAAAATATGAACAGACTCTTATGGGATTTGTTCAGAACCATTTTTTTATAAATCATAACAATCACTGATGAATTAAAGGTCTATATTTAATTATTTGTATATGCACATACTTTCCCCAATTATGAAAGGGTGAAATTGCAAAACCGTTTAAACTGTAAAATTTACGGTGTTAAGGGTTGTGCCATTTTGTTCAGGGTCAAAAGGACTTAAACATACCATACTAAGTTTTAATCAAAATCTTTACAACATTTTTTTTAAATCCGATTTTACTTGTTTTTATGTTAATCTCCATAAAAAAAAAAATAAAATTCATGCATCGAGATAACGTAGATTAGTATCACAATATAAAATTTAATCAAAACCAGGCTTCAGGTACACATGTGTATAGCTCTGTACACATCCACACACACAGACATCACTTTGAAAACAATATTTTTGGGTTCATAGGGACTCAAATTTGAAATTTTTACAAAAACAATACTTTATCTGGATACTATAATAGTCAAAGATACTATGTTTAGGGGGGAAATAGGAAAGGTAAAGAAACTAAAAATAATTATAAATGTATGTCTATTGTGTTTTGTGGTTTTTTGATCCATAGTTTTTAATTGTTTTTATCATAAGGGTTAGGCACTAGGTGAACCACAAGCTTATATCGTGCTAATGCAATTAACTATTTAGCATTGCGTTTGTTGCAGTGTTTTACCCACAGTGCTTGTTGCGGAGGTTGCTGTAGAACGGGAATATGTGTCGAGTGTGAGTAAATTTACAAGATAAGTTTTACGTTTTTTGAGATATAAACTCGTCATCATAACTCATCTCTTAAAATTTAACCATGAACTAGTTACTGTACCTCCAAATGGTTTTTAATCAAGAAACTCAATTTATTTTTTATTTTGTAAAATGTTTAACCTCTTTCTTCAAATGCCACCTTTCCATGATCCAGGTGGTATGCTCAGGAATGGAAGGTATTGGGAAAGTAATGACCAACTGCTTGACTCACAAGTCTCAACAATTAGGGAGTCCCAGAAACTGATTGAGAGCTTGTGGTTTTTATGTACCACCATAAGCTATCATAAGCCAGAGCCATCATAAGCTAGAGCTTGGTTCTAGCCCAGAACTGTTTTACTCATTATTTCAAAAACAGGGTAGTGTCTTTTTTGGGTTGGCGGTATTAGAACCTGGGTCCTTGGGCTTCGAAGCCCCATCCAATCAGCTTGCTTCTCTTAGAGCCTGTGGTACTGTGATGAGGTCTCATGACGATCCTCTGAGCCCGAAAAAAAGTTTCTCATATTTGAACAATACTTAAGGGTGTTTGGTTGTTAGAAATACTTCTGATGTTAAACAGGGTTCTAGGCAGTGGTAGTCATAAATTTTCCATTGTGGAACGCTCACTGTTTTCGTAAAAAAATGCGGATCTCTAATCAATTGTTAGGTTCTTTTGAAAGACCAACGTGGTAACAAATAATTAAATCATTTTCATCATGAAAATCATAAAAAAGATGCGCCAGTGTTGCTGATTGGATTTAAGATTATTGTCAGGTAATTTAGCTGGTTATTTGTATGCCAAGTTTGGGTTCATTGAAATGAAAAAGTAGTATACTGAGTGTCTCAATTAAAAAGACATTTAATGAGTTTATAAAGTACAAGAAAGACGAAAGTGTAAATGACATTGTATTTCCCTAGCCACTCGCAACTGCCAGCTGGACATCGGAGACTGTGTGAACTACTGTCCTCCCAGGATGAGCTGTACCTTGTTCCAAGTGCCAGGATGTACAGGATGTCCCATCATACCTTACTGTAGGGAAGAGGGCCACCATGTCCCAGGAGACCGGAGCTAATGTACAATTCATTATACGATTGTTTTTAATCTCATTAAACATCAAACGAATTTTGTCTTACAAATGTTCTTAGTACCTTACAGTTAATGTTAGCAATTACTGTACTTTAGATCAGGGGTAGCAAAGTGTTTATAGTGCTCACCTAGTGATCAAAAGGTCACCAGTTCGATCCTGAGAAAAGTGTGTAGGTTTTAGATGGTTCGAACCTGGACCCAGATGTCCCTGATCATTGGGCTTTTAATAAATGGTATGAAACAGCTGATATTAGTCAGTAACAAAGCTACACAAGGCATCAAACTGATCCATTCTACACTCATCCTTCACTCATATTTGTATCAAAATAAACACATAGGTGGGGTCCCCATCTCAAATGACCATTAATGATGATTAATGGGTACTTCACTTCAATGCAGATGTGTGTAAATTCAGAAAATTTCAGATCAATCAGTCCAATAAATGAGTGAGTAAAAAAAAACTAACATAAATACATACATAAAGTCGCTTAACATATTGAAGTGTGATAAATTAGTATAATCTCAATCAATAAATCATTCCAATTATGTTCAATATAAACTAACACAAACTAAAATACTTCCACCTCCAAATCAAAGATTATAAATTTATTTTACCTTAAAATACACATCTAAAATATTCTAAAAATAACACCGGTATTGAAATGTAAGCCTTTCACAATGGAGTGTTATCATTGAAATACTAATTCAAAAATGTAAATGTGCCCGTTGAAGCAGAAAGTTAGCTACTGACACTTGCGAAAGCAACCTTGCAACAAACATGTAAAGTGCTGGGATAAAGCCATTGTAAATCAGATGCATTGTGCTGTAGCTAGTGAGATGGTTAGACTCTAGTTGGTAATAGACGAGGTTACTTGTACTGAGTTCATGTATCTATTCAGTACAGCTTTGGTCTGTGTGTTATCAACTGTTACTGGTCAGGGGTGCCTCAATCAAGGATATGAGGTAATATTTTTGAATTTCAAGTTTGCATTTATATTTTTTAGACAGTAGATTTGTTTTTATATGTGACAAAAATCACACAATTTAAAGAAACCTGGGATATTTAGCGAGAGGATGTACATAACATTTTGTGTTGACTACTGTGGAAAAAAGAAACAATAATGTATACTTTTTTCCTCGGTTAAAAATATTAATATTACAAACAGACTTTTTTGTGTTCTTTTCAGAATCATTTTGTCCTATTAGCTGCTTTTACTTTTGATCTGTAATTTATTTACCTTTATTGCACAATGTTAACGTATTATCTTTATAATCTTCAATGTTAAGTACTGTCCTTTGACTATTGGATACTGAATGGTTATCAATAGTTTTCAATGGTACTGTACAAAGTCAGCCAATATTAATTTGTAACAAATTGCCATTGTAAAACTTTTTCAGCAGAGTCCCATTTCTGACATAAACATTGTACCCTACTACTTTCATAAGGAAAATACTTGTAAGGAGTTCTTTTATGGAGAAATCACAAAAATTGCAAAACTTTTGAATCGTAAAATTTATGGTGACAGTTATCTTTGACAATTTATGTTCAGGACGATAACATCCCATACAAGGTTGTAATAAAAACTTGTTGGGTTTTGAAGTAAACATGTAAATTTTAGGGATCCCCTTTAAATATCAAAATATAAAAAAGTAATACTGTACCATGGGTTAGGATTCATCCAATCCACATATCAAATTTCATCAAAATTGGACCACTGGTACACATGTCTGTAGCTTTGTTTTGTACACATCCACACCCACAACATAACTTTGAAAACCACGTTTTTGGGTTCAGGGGACTCAAACTCGAAAATATGACATAAACAACACTTTAACTAAATATTGTTGTTATAGGGGGATAAAGAAGAAAGGGAAAGAAACACTAAAAGTATTATAAAGTGTTTAGTAATCTTTTACTCCATATTGTTCATTGAGTTTTTTTAAGATAGGGTATTGCTAGGTACAGGTGAACCATAACCTAATACAGTTAAACCACAGACTATGGAATTAAACGTTTAGCATTGCGTTTGTTGCAGTGTTTTACCCATAGTGATTGCTGCGGGGGTTGCTGTAGAAAAGGAATATGTGTCGAATGTGAGTTAATTTACAAGATAAAGTTTAAAGTATATAGACATTCACACACCTTATTATAAGCCAATAGCTTAGTTAAGATTTCATGTAGGTACTAGATACTTCAAATTGTTTTTAAATCACAAAAACTCAATTTTTTTATTTTTTAGCGAATATCCCATATAGGGAATAAGCCGAAGCAAACCTGCAGACTAAGCGAATTTACATTTGCCTGATTGGATTTACACTAAAATGTCTCCTTAAAAATATCACACATTTATTCCCTATTTAAATAACATTAGTTTAACAAGTACTTAGGTTTGCTACAACAGGGAGGGTAAAAAGGTGTTTTTTGTAAAATGTTAGTAGATTAGTATAAAATGAATGCATTTTCCAAATTTGATCAAAATATGATCATAAACAAGCAAACTACAACAGTTTACTTATCTTCTTACTAATATTATAAACTAGCTGTAACCCGCGGGCTTTGCCCCGTTTAACTTCTTAATTTTCAAGATTATCTCGTTCGCATGGCTCAATCAGGTCCTGGTTGAAGTTTGTTCGCTACGCTCACTCACCTTTAGGTTGGAGCTCGTTCGCTGCGCTCACTTGCCTTCAGGTTAGCTCGTTCGCTACGCTAACTCGCCTCCAGGTTGAAGTTCGTTCGCTACGCTCACTCACCTTTTGGTTGCAAATTAGCTGTTGTCATAAATGTAAAAGAAATAATAGTGCTGCACCCTGTTGGTAATCCTTGTAACTTTAATGCTATTGAACATCATAGAACAGAACCAACTTGTTTAATTGAAACAGCTGTTAAGATTCAATAATTCCATTTCTCATAAGGTTAACATGGGAAACTCCAGAGCCACTGGGGCGGAGCCCGAACGGATTTTTGAAATAAGAATATGCCTATATGTTAATCGGGAATGTGAGCTATCATCATGCCAAATTTCAGCCCAATCCGACCAGTATTTTTCGCGTTCACTTGTCACAAACATACATCCAAACTTTCTCATTTATAATATTAGTAGGATAGGATGTGAAAGTTTGTGTGTTTGTTTGTTTGTTTGTTTGAAGTTCAATCACGCATTAACTACTGGACGGATTGGGCTGAAATTTGGCATGATGATAGCTCATATTCCCAATTAACATATAGGCATATTCTTATCTCAAAAATCCTTTCGGGCTCCGCCCCAGTGGCTCTGTAGTTCCCCATGTTAACTTTATGAGTATTCATATTTAAAGGGAATTAAAGTATTTAAGTCAGCTGTTTCAACTGAAAAAGTTGGTTCTATGATAAACAAAAGCATTAAAAAGTTATCAGATTTTCCAACAGGTTGCAGCACTATTATTTTTTTTTTGCATTTATGAAAACAGCTAATTTGAACTAAGCAGCAGCAAAAAACTGTGATAAGCAATGAGAACTGTCAAAGTATGATTGTTTACAGTTATGTTTATTTTTTTATTTCATGAATAATTTGTGATATTTATAATTTGTTTTAGCGAATTTCCCATATAGGGAATAAGCTATTACCGTAGGTCTCATGATAAGACCTAGACCCGGGACCGATTTACTTTTTCGTTTTGAGGTCCCCAGAGGCCAAAAACACCATCCGTTCAAATTTATATATATATATATATATTTATATATGTGTCCGTTAGCGCGATAACTCGAGCAAAATTGATCCGATTTTGATTAAATTTGGTACAAACGTGTAAACCTACATTTATTCGAACGAGTTCGCGAACCAGCATAATCGGACCATGGGATCAGGGGTTTATGGGGGGTTTTATGGGGTAAAAATGGGTTTTTCTCATTTTTGACCCTAAAAACTTTAAATTTCTAAATTTCTCTCTAGACCATTTTGAAGAGCTTAAAAAAACAAATAATTTAGTATATTGAAGTGTTTTTGAATGTTCATTGACTACGGAGAAAATTTAAAAAATTGTAATTTTAAAATTCCCATGTTATTCTTATGGAGAATAAATAAACTGTTCTAGTTTGCTTGTTTATGGATATATTTTAATCGAATTTGGCAATTTGGTTTATTTCATACTAAGCTATCAATATTTCAATTTGAAAAAAACACACCTCAACATCTTCCCCGTAGCAGCAAACCTAACTACTCACTAAAATTAATGTTATTTAAATAGGAAATAAATCTGAAAATTTATTGGCAATATTTTAGTAGAAATCAAGCCGGGTAAATGGAAATTCGCTTAGTATGCAGGTTTGCTGCGACGGGGGTATTTATCTTTTGTTTAGGTGAATTGGTAGAACATTATGACTATTGTAGATGTGCCATACAATAGTATACTGTAAATTTAAAGAAACAAATGTATCAAACTGTGTCCTCCCCCATTGCAAACGCAAAGCTTGAATATAACTGTAATAATCATTTTATACTTATATGCCAACCCCGTACGAAGGACGGGTATGACTGCTAGTTCTCCATATAGTACAGTAAAAATATGTTTTGGCCCAAAAAAAATTAGCACAACCGGGGAATTAGGTACAGATGTTGGGTGTACCTTCCTTTTGAACATACTAAAAGTCCCCTAAAATTGAAGCTGTGCTACGGCCGCCATATTGGAAAATGGCGGCATATTTAAGTATTTTTCGCTATTGTGACTTTATTATTAGAGATACAGGAAAAAGCTAAATATACAAAATGTAGGTAATCTAAAAATACACATTTTTTGTATTTACCATCTTTCTCTAAACCCAACGGTTTTTGAGTTATTTGTTATTAAGTATATTTAGTTTTTTCTATTTATCAAAAATAGGTGAAACACATGGAAATTGACCGTTACTATCAAGGATTATGATAATGTATTCTATTTAGTTAAATAGTATGATATTATAAAATCTCAAAATTTAAGCTTATTTTATGAGTAAAACAACTACGCCACAGCAAACCTGCAGACTCAGCAAATTTCCATTTGATTGGATGTTTTATTAAAAA